TCTCTCTCTCTCTCTCTCTCTCTCTATATATATATATATATATATATATATATATATATATATATATATATATATATATAACCCTAATATGCAAATAGGCCGAATGGTGGAACAACTGAGCAACCAGTTGCTATGAAGTGTGCTGACCAAAAGGAGTTCCACAGAGAACATGGTGGGTGTTGGCTATGGTGGGATGGTGGAGCAGGTGAGCAGGGGCACCAGACCAAGGTGGGGTGCCAGTTGCTGTTATCGGGGTGAGCCTATGGTGGTTACTGAAATTCTTTGCTCCCGTGCACTGCGGTCCTACCAGGCATTTGTACCTGCTGCCAGAACTGGCCCTACTTGTACCCACTGCTGGCTCCCAGTGCTGGCCCTGATCGCTCAGCACTGTCAGTGGGTGTGAGCGGTGGCTGCTGCCCCCAATCGTCCCTCAGGGCTTCTCCACCTCCCCCTGCTCCCGAGGGGCAATTGGGACAGCAACTGCCACTCACACCGGCTGATGGCCCTGGCCCCAATTGCTCCACACCGTCAGCAGGTGCAAGTGGGACTGATGCCATCAGTGCATGGGAGTGGTGGCAGTGGGAGCGGGGCTGCCAGCAGACAGGGGACTAGGGGTGTGTGGCAGAAAGGGCTGGGTAGGGGTGCAGAGGATGGGCTGAGACTGCCCCTGTGCCCACCGCAGCCTCGAGGCCCATAGTTCCTTTCCAGGTGCACAAATTCGTGCACTGGGCCCCTAGTCCTATATAATAAAAGGCTAATATGCAAATCGACTGAATGGCAGAACAACCAGTCGCTATGACGCACACTGACTACCAGGAGGGGCAGAAGCTTAACACAGGAGCTGCCCCCTGGTGGTCAGTGCGCTCCCTCAGTGGGAGCGCCTCTGGAGAGGCCAGAAACCTGGATCAAGGCTGGCAAACACAATGGCAGTGGCAGGAGCCTCTCCCACTTCCATGGCAGGGCTAAGGATGTTCGACTGCTGGACTGCAAGAGTGCGCAGTTTGGGCTAAGGAACCCTCCCCCAGTGCACAAGTTTTGTGCACTGGGCCTCTACTGGGTTAATAATTAGCATGAGGGTCTGATGGGCTGGGGTAGGATGCCTGCCAGACATTGCTGAGAAACACAGTGGGGGCAGCTTCTCTGGTAAACTGGCTGAAGGCTCTCTTTTGGGTGAGACATGGACTAACTGTTATTTTAACATGGTAGCAAGTTTCTATTACTTTCTAGAAAGATTTTTTTTTTTTTTTTTTTAATAATTAAGCTCAGATCCTTCTGTCAATCAACCGGTTGGGACAGAGGCTGACATGCTAATGGGAGTGAGCCAAGCTGGGCACCCTCGCTTACACTTAGCCTGATGGGGGCTGAGAGTTTCTTGAAACAGCCTGTTAAAACTCCCCATCTCCGCTCACAACAAGAGTGCCCAGCTGAAACCGGTTTGGCCCAGTGCATAGAGCGTCGGCCTGCAGACTGAAAGGTCCCAGGTTTGATTCCAGTCAAGGGCATGTACATTGGTTGTGGGCACATCCCCAGTAGAGGATGTGCAAGAGGCAGCTGATTGATGATTCTCTCTCATCAGTGTTTCTAACTCTCTATCCCTTTCTCTTCCTCTCTGTAAAAAATCAATAAAATATATTTTAAAAAAAAGAAAAAAGAAAAAATAGTGTCCAGTGCCCACCCACCACCCACGTGCTTAGGGCAGTGCAGTGAGAAGGTGGACCGTCCCAATTCCCCCTCCTCTTTTCCCTTCCTCCTGGGGGACAGCCTGTGACCTGAGGCCTGGGACCCTCACCAAAATGCTCCCTCGGCACCCCGACACCCTGTCACAAGATGGTGGCCTACTGCCCTCCTCCAAAGCCGCCTGTGGAATATGGATTAAACGCCGAGCACGAAACACCGAAATAAAATGCACGTTGGGCTCGGGGATGCCGTCGTGGTGCACTCAGCCAGCTCCTGCTCAGGGAACCGGGACGGGCCTCACCTCACACCCACAGACTGAATGGGCTTATTTAAGGGGCCACCAAGATATGATAAGGCAGTCAAGGGAAAAAAAGACGTTCTTCCATTTTGGGAAATAGTCAAAGCTTTTATATTCCACCAAAAATAGAAGTGGAATTCTAGAAAGCAAGACTAGCTGGGCTTATGCATGTCTGCCATTCAGACAAACCCACATAGACTACGATGCTCTCATCTTTCTGGAATGTGCGCCTGCGTTTCCCTGAGGACCCGGACCCTGGACAGAAGGGAGTCTGGGACCAGCATCTTTCTCTTCCCCGGACACCAGTCCTTCTCTTCCCACTCTCTTCCTATCACAGCCAGTGGGTACTGATGGGCATCACAAACTCAGCACAGCCAGAAGGGTCTCCTGGCTTCTCCCCCATCCTCTCTCGCTCTCCCCCCACCTCATTATGTCACTTCCAACACACGCAGCCAGAATACTGGGCAAGTCTTTTTTTTTTTTTTTTTTTTTTTTTTAAATATATTTTACTGAATTTTACAGAGAAGAGGAGAGAGGGACAGAGAGTTCGAAACACCGATGAGAGAGAAATATGGATCAGCTGCCTCCTGCACACCCCCCACTGGGGATGTGCCTGCAACCAAAGTACATGCCCTTGACTGGAATCGAACCTGGGACCTTTTAGTCCACAGGCTGATGCTCTATCCACTGAGCCAAACCGGTTTCAGCACTGGGCGAGTCTTGATCCTTCCCTCTCTATACCCCTTCACCCAGTCTATCACTAAGTCTTATTCAGTCTGTTTCCAAAAGCACCCCAACTCTTTCCACTTCCGTGTTACCACCTGATCTAAGCTATCAGCCTCTCACCTCAGCAGGTGCATTGACTTCAGAGCAGACACTGGTGAGGTGTAACAAGCCGCCAGCATGAAGGGCCTGGTCACATCCCACCTGTGCCATTGCTGCTGGGGAGAAGGTGAGAGTCACACCTGCAGCTCCGACTGAAGGGCATCCCCGAGTTAAATACCACTCCCTGAGGCCAGTCAAAGATGGCCTCAGGGACGGTCTCCTGTGAGTCACGTGTCCCTTTGTCACTTGCTTTGGGCCAATGAGACCTTAATAAACATGGTGCAGAGGTTGGAAAAGCCCTGTGCACAGAGCATTGCCACCATGAGAAAAATCCGGCCAGCCTGCTGATGGGGGGTGATACATGGCCCATCAGAGGATGTCCCAAGAGTCTTCATTTTTACTTATTTGTCAACTAGTGGCCCTTGGATACTGTGGCTGGCCGTTGGCCCTCAGGCAGGGTCAAGGGCTTGCTTGTTCACTGGCTGACCGCAAAGACAGGTTTTTCCTTTCCCTCAGAGAGCAACCTGAAGCAGGTGACTGGCCTGTGGCAACACTTTCCCCTGTGGTTAATTTATGCCCCGGATCACTGAGCTTCTCTGTCATGTTCAAATGTCACATGACTCCTGAGTAAGAGAAGCCAACACTGACGGCATGCTGACCATATCCCGGGCTCTACCCTGGGCTCTATACCTGTGTCAGTGTCTCCTCTTCTCCATCTCACACACCAGGAAACAGGCAGGGTTCAACCCCCTCAGTTGAGAATTGGCTGCAGCTGGACTTGACCTTGGAGCCTAGCCTGTGCTCCCACTGCCCGCACCCGGCACCAGGCTAGCCAGGCCCTACCCACTCTCTCCATCCCTTGAGAAAACGAATTAAGGGAACCCTCTGAAGGGGAAGCTCTCATGTACCATACTCACTGACATCTGCAGACTCCAGCAGGAAGAAGCTACCTTGTACTTTCCCGCCACGTATCTCAGTGGTTGAGTGTTGACCTATGAACCAGGAGGTCATGGTTCGATTCCCAGTCAGGGCACATTCCTGGGTTACGGGCTTGATCCCTAGTGTGGGGCATGGAGGAGGCAGCCGATCAATTATCAATGATGCTCTTTCATCACTGATGTTTTCCCCCTCTTTCCCTGAAATGAATAAAAATATATTTTAAATATGTAATTTAAAATTTTAAAATAAAAAAAGCGCACTTTATCACAGAGGCAGGAGGAAGGTTTTCTTCTGGCTCAACAACAGCCCAACCAATGAAAGTTGACACACTCAGCCAATCACCACCATGACCTCTGGTTCTCCTTGAATGGACTTTGGCTCATAACTGCTCCTCCCAACTTCCTCCTTTTTCTCCATAAAGTAACACTCTCCTCCTTTGTTCTCTGGACTTGCCTATTGTTCCCGATAATTTGCAGTCTCAAACTGCAACACGTCCGGTATTCCTGAATAAACTCATTTCCCCTGGTAAGATAAGTGGCAATTTTATTTTTGAGGTTGACATCCTTGAGTTCTCCTAGTAAACCACCCCAAAACAAACTGCTCCCGCCTTATTACCCACTCCTCCGCTCTCAGGACCCGTGTTCAAGAACTATAGTTTTTCCTTATAAACCTTCATTTTCCGTCTGAATAGAATCGCCGTCTTGAGTTATTCTGGTCTTCAGAAATGCCTCTCCACATATGCTTGTCGCATGTGCACATTTCTAGATCAAACCATACACCACAGATACAGGAGTCAGTCTATTGCATGCACTGTAAAAAGACTTTCAAACGCCTTTACTGTCAAAACCAACCAATCCAATGACCACCTTAACGCTGGTACTCTGGACTCGCCTCTGCTGTCACTGAAAGTGCTTCCCTGAAACAGGGGAGCCCCCTTGTAATTCGGGGACCCCGATTTCCTAATGCGCACCCAGGGCTCTCGGGGAGGTGGACCGGCGGAATGCGTTAGAACATCAGATCTCAGCGGGCCGTCCCGAGCCCCCTGCCCCGCCCAGGCCACCCCCAACCCCCCGGTGGGGCACCCCGCTCCTCGCCCCAGCCTCGCCTAGCGCTCGGGGTCGCCCTGGGACCCAGAGCAGAGCTCGGCTCGGCGCCCGCGCCCGCGCGCGTCCTACGTCACGCCGTCGCCCCCGGCGTGCGCGCGGCCGCGGCCAGGGGGCGGGGCTGGCGCCGAGGGCGGGGGCGGGGGCGGAGGCTGCGGCGGCGGCCCTGTCAGGCCCGCACGGGGGCGCGCTCGGGGCCGCGCCAGGCCACGGCCCGCGCGCCGCAGCCCGGGACGGCAGAGCGGTGCGAGCCCAGACGAGGCGCGCCGATCGGAGCGGCGGCGGCGGGCGGCTGAGGTGAGGCGGGGGCGGCGAGGGTCTGACACCGGCAGCGGCGGACACCCGCCGCGGGAGCCGCGTTTCTGTAAGCGCCGCCGCCGGGCAGGTGGGGAGGCCGGGCCGGGTGTGGTGGGGGGCTCTGGCGAGACACCCCGTGTGCCACCGGCGGGGTGTCGGAGAGGGGCTGCGGGCCGGGCTGCCCGGGGGAGGGCGGGAGGGAAGCTGCACCCGGACGGCCCGATCGCCTCCCGGGGCGCCGGTCCGCGCGGATGCTCTGCGCCGCCCGAGAGGAGGCTGCGCCCGCCCGGGGTGGCGGGGACACTGCGCCTCGGGACGAGGGTGCGCCCCCGGAATGAAGGGGAGGCTGCGCGCCCTGGGATGCGGCGGTGCCCGGGGGGCGGGGGCCTACATCCCTGGATGAGGCTGCGCTCGGGGTGGGTGAGGCTGCTCCCGGGGAGGGGAGCCTGCGGCGGGGACAGCGGGTCCCCACCCTGGGAGCGCCGCGTCTGCGCCGATCCTCCGTCCCGAGGAGGAAGCCCGCGCCCGGGGATGCGGCTGCGTCCCCGGGATGGGGCTGCGCCCCGGGATGGGGCTGCGCCCCCAGGACGAGGCTGCGCAGAGGTTGGCCCGCGTTCCCCGCTGTGTCCCCGCGGGATGCTGTGCTTCGCGGGGAGCAGAGGGGGCCCTCCTCCCGGAGAGGGGCCGCCGAGTCCCGGGAGAGGCTGCGCGCTCAGAGGGCACCGTGTCCGCGGGATGCCCTGCGCCGCGGGCGCCCGGGTGGGGAAGTTCCCGCCGGCGCCGGGCGCCCGGAGCGCTCGCTCCGGAGCAATCTGGGGCGCCTGGGGGCCCCCCGAGGTGACTTCTGACGCGGGCACCTCTGCGGTAGGAAAACTACCGGGCTGTGGAGGGGGCCCGGGGAAGGGGGCCGAGTGGAGTCCCGATGTACACGTTGGTGAACCTGAAATGTATTCCAGCCCCGGGTTAGCCGAGGGAGACGTCTCCCGCACCACTTTGTTTGGTTCGCAGGTCAGATGTTTTAGCCGCCAACCCGCGTTGGTGTTACGTATGATAAAGGCATTTTATCGCCTCCTTACCCAAGCCAATGACGGTTAGCGTTCCATTCTCAAAGTAACCTGTAACGAAAAGTGGCTTCATGTCAAACTTGCTTCTTGACTCGTAGTGCTCTCATTAAGGTGATCAACCGATCATTAAGGTTTGGGAATAGAAATATTTAAAGATTTTCGTTCCCTCTTACATGTACCCGTGCGTGTTATGCCTTGGAAAGATGCCACCCAGAGCTGCATTTCCTCTCTCACGGGCACCATCAATGGTGAGTGGCATGATAATAGGTGGTGAGAGCTCTGAGCTGGGTGCCCCATTCTGCCCTAGGTGGAGGCCAAGGACTCAGCTTGGGAAGGAATCCCTTGTCTTTGAGGAGTGCCTGTTAGCTACTGGGGGGTTCCAGAGACAATGCCTTCAGCGACATCCTCAACAAATTTGCAGACATAGTTGAAAGGGAAGAGCGGGGAAAGGAAAACTGGTCCAGCTCTGAGAAAGGCATGACGCCTGTCCCGAGGTGCGATGTGCCCAGGAAGTCGGTACTGGGAGTGAAGAGAGAATTAGCTGATGACATCATCGGCAGAAACTTCTGGACGCACAGGCTGATTCGTTCCTTTGTGAATTTACATGTTGCAAGAGCAGTTCAACTGCTTTTTGATTTTTGGAATAAGAAAATTCTTTAGGCTTACATTTGTGAGTAAAACAAACGTAACTCATTTGATAAATACTTATCCATAACATTTGCCACATACTGTGCTGGGTGCTAGGTCCTCCCTGTTTTTAGCAGGGGACACAATAAAGGAAAAGCTAGGCAGAGATTTTAAAAAGTTCAAAAGCTGGCAGTTTGTTTTATTGATCTCTTTGGTAGCACTACAGTTTAAAAATAAAATGTATAATTTTAGTTATACATTTTTAAATGTCTAGCATTAATTTTTTTTGCAGATTTAAAAAAATAAGCATGCACACAGTACATTCTAAAGGTACAAAAAGACATGGAAACCTTCTTCTACCCCATACCCAGTAGCTCAGTTTCCTCCACCTGCTATGATGATGTATTCTTCCCGCAATAGTCAAAATAGCGTATACACAGTCGTATATGCGTTCTAATATCGTTTTTAGTGTTTGCTGGAACAGACAGCGCTGCAGTGAACATTTTATGCATAGCTGCAAGCAAAACCTGCTAATCACTTTTTTATTAATCATCAAAATTCCTTAGCTATAAGAGCCCGCTTATATTCCCTTGAATGTTGTGACAAGCCTTGTCAGCACTTAGCACCAAAGCATATTATTTAAATAGGTAGACGATCGCTAGAACGTACACTTTGCAGTTTAATAGGTGAACTTACCAACTTATTAAAAACTTGAAGAAAATTTATCAGTCTTAGCATGAAACTGAAAAGCGCTTAGCGAGGTCCAATTTTATTGGAAAACCTGATTTTTCCCCCCTTTTTTTGGTGTTAGCATTCCAAAATGCAAATTTCCAAATCTATAATTTGTCATAGAAATGGTGATTAAAAACAACAACTCCTTTTAAAAATATATGTTCATAATATGTGAGGAGGGTAGGAAAGGCCAGTAGTGAGAATTTCATTTACAAATTGTACGTTGGAGTCATCATGACTTCCTTGTTCCTTGAGTGACTTCTCTTGGCTATGTTCCTTTCACGTGGACTGTGGAGAGGGGACATGCCGTGACCAGCAGGTCTTCACGTGGCCTTGCTGCAGAGCTCACCCCTGGGCCCAGACCAGGAGTATCATCACCTCTCGGTGTGACCCGGTGAGTGTGCTGGCTGACCTTCTCCCCCTGTACCTGTGCAAGGTGTTCTAGGAATGTACAAAGACAAGGCACTTTGGTTTTAGGTTTCCCATCCTTGCGATGGGATGAAGATGAAGATAAGCAGAGAGGGGTGGAAGGAGCTCAGAGGTGCCTGGTATTTTTATTGGCCACATCTGCTTGCCTCGAGGCTGGTTTTGTCTCACCTTCAGGGTCACCCCACAGGTATTTACAAGGTTATTGTTCTGGACATGGGAGCCCAAAGGATGGAGTGAGCTGGGTGCTGCCCCAGCAGCTTCATTCGGGCAGCAGGAACTCTGGAGTCAAAGCTCTGTGCCCAAGCGATCGTACTGCGCTGGTGATAGCAGGGAGGTCGCTGGCAGGAAGGGCACGGAGGGCTGAGGCGAGGAATTGGATGTTCACCTTCCTCAGTGTGATGGGAAGCCTTGGGAGGGCTGCCTTCCTCCCTGCTTCTCTTCCTCCTTCCTTCCCTCCCCTTCTTCCTAGTTGGTTTAGAGAGCTTTGAATGAGGGAGTGACATGATCTGATTTATCTTTATAAAGAATCGCTCTGGCTGAGACCGATTTGGCTCAGTGGACAGAGCGTCATTCTGTGGACTGAAGGGTTCGGTCAAGGGCATGTACATTGGTTGCGGGCACATCCCCCATCGGGGGTGTGCAGGAGGCAGCCAGTCGATGTTTCTTCCTCGTCGATGTTTCTAGCTCTCTGTCCCTCTCCCTTCCTCTTAGTAAAAAAATCAATAAAATATATTAAAGAGAAAAAAAAAGAATCGTTCTGGCTGTTATGTAGCTAACATTTGTGAGGAGCTTAAGCACTTTGCATATACTAATTAATGTACTTCTCATAAAGTCCAAAAAGTAGGCATTATTGTTTATCTTCCGTGGGTAAAACTAGACAGAGAGAGGCCACCGATAAGTGGCAAAGGCAGGACCCCCCTGAGCACCTGTCCCTGGGGCCCTTCCCACCTGCGGGCCACAGGCGGGAGAGGAACAACGGGGTGTCCGTGACCCGGACCAGGCAGGCTCAGGCCAGGCAGAGGAGGCCAGACCCAGCCCACCAGCGGTAAGTTGCAGTGTTACTGTTGGTGCTATTAGCAGGAAAGTGTTGCCAATTAGACTGACACGTGCTTTCTTATCGCTGCGCTTTTCCTTCTACTCACTGCAAGTACAGACTTTTCAAGTCAGACAGGTCTTGTGCTTCCATAAAAGAGGAAGATAAGAGTGAAATGAAAGAAAGTAATTCTAAACGTTTAGAATCCAGTTCTTCCAAGTCAGCCTTTGCTGTGGTGCCCCGCTGCCCACGGTGCTGTCCACTGTGCTGTCACTGAGCGTTTCTGAGACAGCCGCACTGCTGTCCCTGCGGTGTCTGTTGTCCCAGCTGCCAGGCCCAGTCAGCAGGTCTGCATGCTTCCTTGGACTCACTGGCAGGTGTTAAGGAAAGGCTTCCGGTCCTGAAGGGACTGGCTGACAGACTCGCTGACAGTTACTCTGTCCTGTCATACCTCCAAGAGCAGCAGCCCAGTTGAGTGTGCCTGCGCAGAGCGCTGCACTGACTGGCGGCTAAAAGCAGGTGACACGCCTCCAATTGCAGGCACTCCGTTTCCCCAGTAGCTAGGATGTGGGGCACGCCCTCAGCACTGAGGAATGTGGCCTGTTTAGCAGGCGGGCCCATCAGGATGGCCAATAGACTCTGTGAGAAGGAGCATTCCAGAAGGACCCCAGGGTTGTTTTCGGCACAGCTGGCTGGCCAGTGGTGAGGTGGGGAAGTCTCTGTGGCAAGGAGGAGCGAGGAGGAGCGCAGGAGGCAGCTCCTCAGCTGTCCCCGCGGACTAGAGCTGGGGCGTGCAGGCGGCTGCTCAGCCCACCCCAGCCAGATGTGTGGTTTTGAGCAGGCTATGTCATCTTCCTGGGCTTTGGTTTTCTTGCCTGTGAATTAGGAGGAAGACAAGCGGCTTGTGTCCTATGGTTACTGGGTGGATAAACTGAGCTCTGTAAAGTGCCCAAAATGTCCCTCAAATAGGACTAAAGAGGGTTTTGCTTTTTACTTCTATGATTAGTCACCCAAGGGCAGGTGTTTAGATAATTCAAGAATATGTAAATGTGGCTGTGATTTGCTTATCTCAGGTATTTGAAACCACAGACTGGGCCTTGGGTGTGGAGACTGGA